TAGAAATAGAAATATCACATGCTCCAGCAATCCCACTCCTAGAAATATGTCCTAGAGAAATGAGTCGTCACACGCCCATGTTCACTGCAGCATTGTTCACAATAGCAAAAAAATGGAAACAACCTAGATGCCCATCAACAGATGAATGGATAAACAAATTACGGTACATACACACAATGGAGTATTAAGCAACGATAAAGAACAACGATCAATCTGCAAAGCATCTCATGACATGGATGAATCTGGAGGACATTATGCTGAGTGAAATAAGTCAATCATAAAAGGACAAATATTGTACGAGACCACTACTGTAAAAACTCATGAAAAGGTTTACACACAAAAAGAAACAATGTTTGATGGTTACGAGGGAGGGGAGGGGTGGGGAGGAAAAAAATACTAAATAGACAACAGATAAGTGGTAACTTTGGTGAAGGGTAAGACAGTACACAATACTGGGGAAGCCACCACAACTTGTACGAGGCAAGGTCATGGAAGCTCCATAGACACATCCAAACTTCCTGAGGGACTGAACTGCTGGGCTGAGGGCTGTGGGGACCATGGTCCTGGGGGTCATCTAGCTCAACTGGCAAAACATAGTTTATAAAGAAAATGTTCTACATTCTACTTTGGTAAGTACCGTCTGGGGTCTTAAAAGCCTGTGAGCAGCAATCCAAGATACTTCATTGGTCTCACCCCTTCAGGAGCAAGGGAGAATGAAGAAAACTTAAGATACAAGGGAAAGATCAGTCCAAAGGACTAATGAACCACATCTACCACGGCCTCCACCAGACTGAGTCCAGCACAACTACATGGTGCCTGGCCACCACCAGTGACTGCTCTGACAGGGATCACAACAGAGGGTCCCGGACAGAGCTGGAGAAAACTGTAGAACAAACTTCTAACCCCCGCCAAAAAAAAAAGACCAGACTTACTGGCCTGACAGAGACTGGAGAAACCCTGAGATTATGGACCCCGGCCACCCTTTTCGCTCAGTAATGAAGTCACTCCTGAGGTGCACCCTTCAGCCAAAGATTAGACAGGCCCATAAAACAAAACGAGACTAAAGGGGCACAACATCCCAGGGACAAGGACTAAAAGGCAGGAGGGGACAGGAAAGCTGGTAATAGGGAACCCAAGGTCAAGAAGTGAGAATTGTTGACATATCCTGGGGTTGTTAACGGAAGTCATAAAACAATATGTGTACTAACTGTTTAATGAGAAACTAGTTTGTTCTGTAAACCTTCATCTAAAGTACAATTTAAAAAAAAAAAAACCTTTTTATACTTAACTACACAAATTCTATTTTGCATAAAAACACAGTTTTTTTTAATAATTTGAAAATAAGCTCACTCTTCCATAAATCAGCTACCATGTAAATTGAGGGAAGAAAACACTGATTCGTTCAGAACTTTATCAGGAGTTGTTTACCATTTTGTAAACAAAATTATGTCACTCATGATCATACCACTCCTGGTGTCTTAGTTATCCAGTGCTGCTACAACAGAAATACCACAAGTAGATGGTTTTAACGAAGAGAAGTTTATTTCCTCACAGTCAAAGTAAGCTAAAAGTCCAAATTCAGGGCATCAGCTCCAGTGAAAGGCTTTTTCTCTGTCGGCCTTCTTCTCATCAGTGTTCCCCCGGACTAGGAGCTTCTCTGTGCAGGGACCCTGGTCCAAAGGACGCGCTCTGCTCCGGGCACTGCTTTCTTGATGGTATGAAGTCTCCCGGTCTCACTGCTCACTTCCGTCTTTTACATCTCAAGAGATTGCCTCAGGACACAATCCAGTCTTGTAGATCAGGTCCTGCCTTACTAACACAACTGCCACCCATCCTCCCTCATTAACATCATAGAGGCAGGTTTACAACATACAGGAGAATCACACAGTACCAGGAATCATGGCCTAGCCAAACTGATACACACATTTTTTAGGGGACATAATTCAAACCATGACACCTGGTATTTGGACTTGACAGTGCAACACATCTGTCTCCATCTGCATTTGTATCTGTCATGTTCACAGTGATTCTGCATTTAAATGCAAGCATCTAGCCACTTCATTGTGCTTTTTCAGTATAGTTTTGCCTAAGCATTTATTTATATATTGAAACACATATTACTTCTTGTTTGTTGTTGCTGTTCATTGCTGTCACGTCAGCCCCCAACTCATGGTGACCCCATGCACACAAAAGGGATCTCTGTATCATGGTTCGGGAATTATACTGATTTTTATGATATACATAAATAAGTTATATTATCCATAAATTGCATTTCAGGATAATAAAAGAAAAGCATTATAAAACATTTATTATAAAAAGTCTATGCTGGGTCTTTTTTAGTGAGAATCAGACAGCTGCTAACTGAAAGGTTGGTCTTTCAAACCTATGGCACCCTGGTGGCACAGTGGTTACTACCCTACAGAGTCGCTATGAGTTGGAATCGACTTGATGGCAATGGGTTTGGGTTTTTTTTGGTTTTAATGAGGCTATATTTCTTAAAGGGCAGGCAGAATGAAAAGTCTGAGGTATACACATTTTTACAAAGTGCTCATAAGGTCAGTGATTTCTTTTAGGTATTGGTTTTTTTATAAAAGAAATGGTGCACATTATTCACAACAGCAAAAAGATGGAAACAACCTAGATGCCCACCAACAGATGTATGGATAAACAAATTATGGTACATACACACAATGGAATACCACGTAATGATAAACAACAATGATGACGTAATGATAAAGAACAATGATGAATCTCCGAAGCATCTCACAACATGGATAAATCTGGAGGGCATTATGCTGACTGAAATAAGCCAACCACAAGAGGACAAATATTGTATAAGACCACTATTATAAAAGCTCATGAAAAGGTTTACACAAAAAACGAAACAATGTTTGATGGTTATGAGGGAGGGGAGGGGAGGGGTGGGGAGGAAAAACACTAAATAGACAACAGATAAGTGGTAACTTTGGTGAGGGTAAGACAGTACACAATGTTGGGGAAGCCAGCACAATCTGACCAAGGCAAGGTCAAAGGTCATGGAAGCTCACAGACACATCCAAACTCCCTGAGGGACCAAATTACTGAGCTAAGGGCTGAGGACCATGGTCTCAGGGAACATCTAACTCAACTGGCATAACATAGTTTAGAAAGAAAATGTTCTACATCCTACTCTGGTGAGCAGTGCCTGGGGTCTTAAAAGCTTGTGAGCGGCCATCTAAGATAACCCACTGATCCCATCCCATCTGGAGCAAGGGAGAATGAAGAAAACCAAAGACACAAGGGAGACGTTAGTCCAAAGGACTAAGGGACCACAACTACCACAGCCTCCACTAGACTGAGTCCAGCACTACTAGATGGTGCCCGGCTACTACCAATGACTGCTCTGACAGGGATCACAATAGAGGGTCCTGGACAGATCTGGAGAAAAACGTAAAACAAAATTCTAACTCACACACACACACAAAAAGACTAGACTTACTGGCCTGACAGAGACTGGAGAAACCCTGAGAGTATGGCCCCCGGACACCTTTCTAGCTCAGTACTGAAGTCACTCTGAGGTTTACCCTTCAGCCAAAGATTAGACAGGCGCGTAAAACAAAATGAGACTAGATGGGCACACCAGTTTCCAGGGGCAAGAATAAGAAGGCAGGAGGGGACAGGAAAGCTGATAATGGGGAACCCAAGGTTGAAGGGGAGAGTATTGACATGTCATAGGGTTGGCAACCAATGTCACAAAACAATATGTGCATTAATTGTTTAATGAGAAACTAATTTGTTCTGTAAATGTTCATCTAAAGCACAATAAAATAAATAAACACAAAGAAATGCTGCAGTATCTTTGTGATTTGGCATAGGGAACAGGAAAATGAAAGTATGACTAATTAGGAGCCCTCTGTCTGGGAAGATGTTAGCCAACTATCTTCTCTAACTGGCTCATAAGAGATTATAGAACTGCTTCAAATCCATCATCTTGTGATGTAATAGAGAAGAATCAAAGAGAGCTCTGAGACTACAAAACGAGTTAAAAAAATGAAGAGACTGACAATAAAAAAGGATGAAAAGTATAAAATATATTTTTCTCTACAGAGACTGTAAAACAGAAAGGCTATAGTCGATCCTCATTATTCATGGCTTCTGTATTTGTGAATTTGCCTACTCACTAACATTTATCTATAACCCCAAAATCAATATTTGCAGTGCTTTGGCAGTCATTTGAAGACATGCAGAGACGCAAAAATTTTGAGTCACCCAATGAGCACATTCCACTCTGTCTTCTGGTTTCAGCTCTCATACTATAAACAAGTGTCCTTTTCCTGGTCTACTTACTGTCATGTTTTTCCCATTTTTGTGCTTTTCATTGGTGATTTTGCTGTTTAAAACGGTGCTTAAGTTCTGCCTAGTGCTCCTAAGTGCAAGAAGGCTGTGATGTGCCTTATGGGGAAAATACATGTGTTAAATAAGCTTCATCCAAGCATTAATTATAGTGTTATTGGTCATAAGCTCAATATTAATGAATCAAAAATATATATTAAATAGAGTGTCTTTAAACAGAAACACATACAAAACAAGGTTATATACTTATCAGTTGACAAAAATGTGACCAGAGTCTCACAGAACCTAACCCTGTATTTCCACTGGGAGCAATGGTTCAGTATTCACTAATTCAGCACTCATAGAGACTTCATAGAACATAACTACTATAAATAACAAGAATCAACTGCATATGATAAGAATGGAAGAAACAAGAAAGAAAATAACTGTTTACATAACTTAGGGAGACTAGTCAAGGCAAATATGAAATATCAAAAATTTGCAGGACAGAGAAAATGATTTTGTCATGTGTGAAACAACCATCTAATTCTTTTAAAGACTCAATCCTCCATGTGCTTACCTGGGTTGGATCATTATGAAGGCATCATTTCATATATACATCATGTGGATATATGATATACATGTCAGTGACTGAAAATGACACATATAATACCCAAACAGGTACCTACCAAGATGACATTGTTCTTTTTCTCTTGCTTCCCATTTCTGGCTATCCACATATGCTGCAGAAAGCAGGCATCTTTTTCCTGAGGAAAAAGACAATTATCTCAACAAGCACGGCTTCACAATAGGTTTATTTTATATATATGTCTTTAATAAACATATTTTTGTCATATTTTCAAATTATTAGATTATATATTTTAAAGATTCTAATAATATACTGCAACCAATATTGCATAGTTCACAATTCAATTCACAACAAAATGCATTCAACCTCTAGAAAGTAGAATATGCAGAAAAACTGAAAAATTTTACAATAATTTGATGGTAACTTGATGCTGGTAATTTTGTTCCTATCACTTTAGCACAAGCAGCCATTTATTTCCACTAAATTATAGCCTAGGTGAGCCCTAAAACTCTTTCTTAGAACCCAAAACAACTGCTGAGCTGTTGCTTAGCTCATTATTTGAATGCTTTATAATCATTAGTCAATCTTAAAATCAAAAGGATGAAAGTATGACTTGGATCAGCATACCTCCATTTCACATAATACAAGAGTAATATTTTACCCAGTGACTCAGCACCCCAGTGCTAAATAAGAGAAATTCAATCAGCCAAATTTGGGGTAACACACAAGATGACAAAGGTGTATTCCCAGCACCTAGCACAATACTTGGCTTAGGACAGTGTTCAGTAAACATGAGTTCAATGAATGAATTACAAAGAATGGCAACTTCACCAAATATTGAAAACTTTAGTGCTTCAAAGAACACCACCAAAAGAATGAAAGGGCAACCCACAAAATGGGAGAAAATATTTGCAATTAGTTATCTGAACTTCTTCTGTTTGTTTTAAAAGAAAGTAGCTAGTAATGCCCCCACGCGTCTGTCAGTTTGTTGTACTGTGAGGGCTTGCATGTTGCTGTGATGCTGCAAGCTATGCCACCAGTATTCAAACAGCAGCAGGGTCACCCATGGTGGACAGGTTTCAGCTGAGCTTCCAGACTAAGACAGACTAGGAAGAAGGACCTAGAGGTCTACTTCTGAAAAGAATTAGCCAGTGAAAACTTTATGAATAGCAGTTGAACACTGTCTGATATAGTGCCAGAAGATGAGCCCCTCAGGTTGGAAGGCACTCAAAATACGACTGGGGAAGAGCTGCCTCCTCAAAGTAGAGTCAACCTTAATGACATGGATGAAGTCAAGCTTTCGGGACTTTCATCTGCTGAGGTGGCACAATGTAAAATGAGAAGAGACAGCTGCAAACACTCATTAATATTTGAAATGTGGAATGTACAAAGTAAAAATCTAGGAAAACTGGAAATCTTCAAAAATGAAATAGAATGCACAAAGATCAATATCCTAGGCATCAGTGAGCTGAAATGGACTGGTATTGGCCATTTTCAATCAGACAATCACATGGTCTACCATGCCGGGAATGACAACTTGAAGAGGAATGGCGTTGCATTCATCGTCAAAAAGAATATTTCAAGATCTATACTGAAGTACAACACTGTCCATGATGGGATAACATCCATACGCCTACAAGGAAGACCAGTTAATGTGACTATTTATCAAATTTACACACAAACCACTAAGGCCAAAGATGAAGAAATTGAAGATTTTTACCAACTTCTACGGTCTGAAATTGATCGAACGTGCAGTCAGGATACATTGATAATTACTGGTGATTAGAATGCGAAAGTTGGAAACAAAGAAGAAGAATCCGTAGTTGGAAAATATGGCCTTGGTGATAGAAATGATGCCGGAGATCGCATGATAGAATTTTGCAAGACCAACGACTTCTTCATTCCAAATACCTTTTTTCACGAACATAAATGGTGACTATACACATGGACCTCACCAGATGGAATACATAGGAATCAAATCAACTACATCTATGGAAAGAGACGATGGAAAAGCTCAATATCATCAATCAGAAAAAGGCCTGGAGCCGACTTCAGAACAGACCATCAATTGCTCATATGCAAGTTCAAGTTGAAATTGAAGAAAATTAGAACAAGTCCACAAGAGCCAAAGTATGACCTTGCGTATATCCCACCTGAATTTAGAGACCATCTCAAGAACAGATTTGATGTGTTGAACACTAATGTCCGAAGACCAGACCAGTTGTGGAATGACATCAAGGACATCATACATGAAGAAAGCAAGAGGTCATTAAAAAGACAGGAAAGAAAGAAAAGATCCAAATGGATGTCAGAAGAGACTCTGAAACTTGCTCTTGAATGCTGAATAGCTAAAGCAAAAGGAAGAAAAGATGAAGTAAAAGAGCTGAACGGAAGATTTCAAAGGACGGCTCGGGAAGACAAAAGTAAAGTATTATAATGACATATGCAAAGACCTGGAGATAGAAAACCAAAAGGGAAGAACACGTTCGACATTTCTCAAGCTGAAAGAACTAAAGAAAAGATTCAAGCCTCGGGCTGCGATACTGAAGGATTCTACAGGAAAAATATCAAACGACGCCAGAAGCATCAAAAGCAGATGGAAGGAATACACAGAGCCACTACACCAAAAAGAATTACTCGATGTTCAACCATTTCAGGAGGTAGCATATGATCAGGAACCGATGGTACTGAAGAAGTCCAAGCTGCACTGAAGGCATTGGTGAAAAACAATGCTCCAGGAATTGATGGAATATGAATCGAGATGATTCAACAAACGGATACAGCACTGGAAGTGCTCACTCATCTATGCTAAGAAATTTGAAAGACAGCTACCTGGTCAACCAAATGGAAGAGATCCATATTTATGCCCATTCCCAAGAAAGGTGATTCAACTGAATGCGGAAATTATCGAAAAATATCATTAATACCACACGCTAGTAAAATTTTGCTGAAGATCATTCAGAAGGGGCTGCAGCAGTGTATCAACAGGGAACTGCCAGAAAGTCAAGCCAGATTCAGAAGAGGATGTGGAACCAGGGATATCATTGCTGATGCCAGATGGATCCTCACTGAAAGCAGAGAAGACCAGAAAGATGTTTACCTGTGTTTTATTGACTATACAAAGATATTCATCCGTGTGGATCATAACAAATTATGGATAACATTGTGAAGAATGGGAATTCCAGAACACTTAACTGTGCTCATGAGGAATCTGTACATGGATCAAGAGGTAGTCATCAAACAGAACAAATGGTTACTGCGTGGTTTAAAATTAGGAAAGGTGTATATCAAGGTTGTATCTTTTCACCATACCTATTCAGTCTGTATGCTGAGCAAATAATCCAAGAAGCTGGACCCTATGAAGAAGAATGCGGCATCAGGATTGGAGGAAGACTCATTAACAACCTGTGTTATGCTGATGACACAACCTTGCTTGATAAAGTGAAGAGGACTTGAAGCACTTACTGATGAAGATCAAAGACCACACAGCCTTTATGGATTACATCTCAACATAAAGAAAACAAAAATCCTCACAACTGGACCAATAAGCAACATCATGATAAACGGAGAAAATATTGAAGTTGTCAAGGACTTCATTTTACTTGGATCCACAATCAACACCAATGGAAGCAGCAGTCAAGAAATCAAATGACATATTGCATTGGGCAAATCTGCTGCAAAAGACATCTTTAAAATGTTGAAAAGCAAACATGTCACTTTAAGGACTAAGGTGCGCTTGACTCAAGCCATGGTGTTTCGAATTGCCTCATATACATCCGAAATCTGGACAATGAATAAGGAAGACCGAAGAAGAAGAATTGATGCCTTTGAATTGTGGTGTTGGTGAAGAATATTGAATATATCATGAACTGCCAAAAGAAAGAACAAATCTGTTTCATAAGAAGTACAACCAGAATGCTCTTTAGAAGCAAGAGCATTCTAAACAACAAACGGCACCTAACAACAAACAACAACTAGTAATGATTCTCCATCTCCATTGAATGTAGAACAAAAGGAAATGGATATAAGAAGGAAGACTTTAAATTTGGCAAATGGGAAATTTTCCTAATAGAGATTAATGACAAACATAGACATGAGTTGTCAATAGTGATACCCATTGTGGACTAGTGAATTTCAACTCGTATGGACCCTATAGGACAGAGTAGAACTGCCCTGCAGGGTTTCCAAGGTTGTAATGTTTACAGAAGCAGACTGCCACATCTTTCTTCCCTCAGAGTGGCTAGTGGGTTCAAACTACCAACCTTTCGGTTAGCAGCCAAGCGCTTAACCAAGTACTTAACACTTTTGGTAATGTGTGTCATTAACCATCTTCAACAGCTAGGTCAACCAGTTAATCCTCAGAAAACTTCCAGTGGCCAACTATGAGGTTTCACGTTGGAATTTAATGGCTGTTCCTACAAAGTATGAGCAAAAGTGCGTGCTGCTTTTTTACAGGGGTTAGAATAGGTTGAAAAGAGGAGATAATGGACATTCAAAACAGTGACTGTTATTATTACATTTTAATCACATAATTAGGTATGCCTTTCAGGATTATGTGATTAAAATCATTACAAATTTGGCTTCTGGAAATGCTTTTTGAAAAAGTTTCCAACGTTTTCATCAGCAAACCCACCAAGTTGGTCTTGAGTGGGCTGCCTTTCAACGCAGATACCAAAGCACTCTAAAGGTTAACTACTAGCATTTATTGTTTTACACGTGGAAAACTGAAGTAAAACAAAATCAAAAACTGTTTCCAAGGTCATCTGGTAAAGTGAGATTAGTACCGAAAAATTCTTCGACCAAGTGAAGACTACGGTCCAGCAGAGTGTGTGTGTGTTGGGCGGCGACGGGGAAGACTGATCTGACCCCCCTCCAAGGAAGCGCAGCCTCAGCAGGGAGAAAAATTTCACAGTCCCAGGGGTGAGCACATTTTTGAGTTTTCTATGGTCAGCAAAAGACGACCACCCTAACACACAAATCCAGCAAATCATAAACAAGTCCCTCATATTACACCTGCCTTCGCTCTTCACACCTCTGGACAGGCTGGCGCTATTAATTTGGTCTGAGAGATGGGTCAGAGACTTTACCTTCCCTTTCTGTGCTACAAATACCTCCAAATGGCTCCTCTAGCGACCAGAACTCAGATCCATTTCCCGTTCTCTCGAAAGCCTATCGCTCCCTTTACTTAAGGAACAGAGTTCTCAAGGCCTAAAGAAGCAGCCCACACCAAAGCAGCAGCCACCAACCTGCAGTGGAAAACTGAGGCAGAGCCGCTTTCCGCGCCAGGAGAAACCCTCGCCGCAGTATGGAGGCCGCCATCTTGGAGCGTACCAAGGGGAAAGCCAACCGGGGGTTGCGGGCAGAGAAAGGGGCGGGGTTACAGGCCGACCTCTCTGGGGGCGCAGAGTTGGACGAATCCCTTTTGGCGCTCTAGGCTGTAGGGCCGACGCTCCATCCCCCTGCCCGGCTCCGACAGTTGGTGCGGCCTAAGACAGCATGGCTGCTGTATCTCAGGCTTTCAAGGGATTCCTGCTACAGGCGCTGCGAAGTTCGCTGTATACCGGTGTGAGTGGCTCCGGCTCCAGCTGCTGCCGGTGCCCTCTCGGAGGTATCGCGGCCCTAGGCCTGGTGGGCAAATTGTGGAAAGAGAGGAGGGTTAGGAGAGAAGGGATCGTTAGAGTCCAGTGGGCATAACGTTGAAGGAGTAACAACAACGTCTCCGTCACTCTCTGGCCTGGAGCTGCCGGGCACGTCCTTGCTCTCTGGTTACACCTGGGTGTCGTGGACGCCGGCGTGCCCAAGGACCGAATGACGGCTGGGCTGGGGTCTTGACTTTGGGACTGTAGTATTCACTCAGTGAGACGGCGTTACTCTCCGGGACTCCCTACTCCTCGTGGATGTACTTTTCTGCAGGTCTGGGGAACAGAGGCCTTAGACTCCCCGAACTTCGAGTCCCAGCTCAGCAGCTAACATTCTGAACGACCCCGAACATGTTTTCTCAATTATAAAATTATTCCTTGTCATTCTTATGGGAAGAATTAGATTTAAAAATGCTAGTGAGCAACAACAACAAAAAAACTTTGTGCCAGGCATTGCTCTAGGGCATTTTGCATACATAGATTAATTCCTTTCATTCTCCCAGCACCTAGTGGAGAATTCTTTCTTCCATTTGCATAAGAGGAAACTAGTTAAGCAATTTGCCCAAGGTCACAGGGAACTAGTAGAGGAGGAGTTTGAACAGGCAACCCCACAGTACCGTCCACTTCACTTTCCATAAATCAGCAGGTATTTTTATTGCTAAGTTATTGCTGTAGGGTCACTATGAGTCGGAATCAGCTCCAAGGCAACGATTTTTTTTGTTTGTTTTAACTTCAGGTTATTGCAGCACACAGAGTCCTTTAGTGAGTGATTTTTTGTACAAGTGATATTCCATTTTACCTCTTGCATAGCCAAGTATCCTAAAGAAAGGAAGATGTTTCCCAAATCCATTTTCTCTACTAAGCTGTGGTCAGTGATTTCTGGTGTATCTTGAGTATACCTAGAGTCCAGGCCTAAGAGGCCATAAACCAAATGACAAGACTAGGAATTCCAAAGGTCACACTATAGCTTTTTCTACTACACTACGTGCTTTTCCCTAAAAACCAGAAAACGAAACCTGTTGCCGTCTAGTTGATTCCAACTCATAGAGACCCTATAGGACACAATAGAACTGCCCCATAGGGTTTCCAAGGAGCAGCTGGTGGATTCGAACTGCCAACTGTTTGGTTAGCAGCCAAAACCAAAACTAGGTATGCCTATTTTGCACCTTCATTTAAAAGATATCCAGGTAGTCCCTGACTTACGACCTATTTGAGTTGCAAAGAACCACACTTAAGACCTTTTTTTTGGTACATCTTATTGTTAGTAATACAAACAATGTTGCTGCTCGTAATTTGCTAATATTATCATTGATTTAGGAAATAATATTGGAGTTATTATTCCCTGTCCTTGAGCATAGAGAATATGACCCAGCTGGAGCTGGGCTCACAAGGACTCAAGGACACATCATCTGGGCCCTGAGGTATAAAGACAATAGCTAAGATAATCTTGGAAAATATTTTTAAGGGAAACTTTCACATAAAGCCAATCAAACACAACACAAAAGACTTTCTACTCTTTTTCTATTAGCTTTTAGTGAATAGAAATTTGTTGGATCAATGAAGACCCTGCTGACTGTCGTTACTGAAAACTGTACCAATGATTATTAAGAAAGACAATTCAAAACGTAGGATCACAGTTTCTAGCCAATCTGAAAAGGCTAAGCTTTCAGTGGTTTTCCCCATTTGTAATGTTTATGCTCATGACTCTGTAATGATCTTTGGACTTGGGCAGACATGGCTGTGGCAGCATGCTTGTCCGTTTTCCCACTTTTTTCTGTTCTGTGATATTTCCTTGGACTCGGGCAGACATGGCTCTGGAAGCATGGTTGTCCTTTACCCACTTTTGCCCTTTTGAATATATGCTGAATAAAACTTACTTTTTGCTTCACTAAACTTAATGATGTTTTTACCCTACAACATCATTCTCAGATGTTCACTTGCAGATGTTAAAGACTGGCTTTATAAAGATACTGATAATGAAAGGCAATAATAAACAAAAAGAGGTATTCGACTTACGTCAGAACTGAGGGAGTTGTGGGAATGGAACCCCATCATAAGTCAGAGACTACCTGTAGTTTTTTTTTTTTTTTTTTTTTTTTTTAACGCCGTTGTTACGCCTTAACCAGCTGGTGAATACCTAGTCTTCAAATCCCAGCTTTCTGTCAACTGTACCCCAAACACAGTTAATCAGAAACTCCTTAGTACTACTACTCTGTGCCTTGCACATAGCACTATTGCTGCATCTATCACTGTTGCTCTGATATATTTATTTGCATGCTTATTTTTCTTCATAAACTATGAGCTCCTGAAGTCTCATTCACCCTCATATCCTTATGGATTAGTACAGCGTCTGTTCTGTAGTTGTTGTGTGCCATTGAGTCACTTCCAGCCAACTCACAGTGATGCTTTAGGACAGAGTAGAATTACCCCATAGGGTTTCTAGGCCGTAATCTTTATGGAAGCAGATGAGCAGGTCTTTTCTCCTGTAGAGCCACCGATGGGCGCAAACTGCCAACCTTTCAGTTAGCAGCTGACAAAATCGTTTTGATTCTCCTGGAATCCAGATTTCTGGGATCATGAAATTGGGGTGAGCCACACAGGCCCTCCGCCCTTAGGTGTCCTTTTGAACCTTGATGGAACTGGTTCCCTGGAGTTACCTTCAGGTGGAACAATAGCTTAGTGAGAGCAGCTTACTAATTTTCCTTTGGAAAGTTATCTATGTGCAGCCAGCTTCAAGAAGCAGGAACTCCAGGGTCTGACTAGAGGTTGATTTAGGATGTATGGCAGGTCCTTGGTGACTGCTTCTGTAACCTGCTATGTACTTTGATGTTATCTTCTGAGAAATTAACATAACAATGACCTGTATGCCCTGCTTTTACTGTTCCTTCTTCAGAGCAACTTCACAGCATGTTTGGGTGAGGATGCCCAATTCGAATCGTATCTACTCACAATAAATATATTCTGTTACACTAATTTTTGGTGTTTCTCTAAGAAATGTAGGTTTTTGACACAGCCAAGCGCTTAAGCAATGTGCCACCAGAGCTCCTGCTAAATGCACATATATCAGAATTGGGGGAGGAAAACATCAGCATGTATAGTTTTGAAAATCTCCGTAGATGATTCTGATATAGTCACTTATCCTGTCTTCCTCTCTGTCTCTCTGTCTCTGTCTCTCTATAGATGTTTCTTAGACACACACTCACACACAATTTGCCTGGCTGAGGAGTGCATTCTCTGGTAGTTTGGAGATGTTTCTTCCCATCAGGGTTGCTGTCTCAGGGGTTGCTATAAACCTGGCTAGATGGTTTATAATAGATGGAGATAAGATCAGTTAATTGAAAAGATCCAATCAAACCCTACTCATGTTATTTTTTAAGTGTAAAGCAATCAAAATGACTTTACTTTTTTTCTTTCTTTCCCTAATTTCTAGCTAAGCGATACCTACTCACAGATAATGTTATGAAATTAAAAGAATTTCAGCATAGGAAGGTGGCTATTGCACGTAATCTCCTTGGCACCAAAGGTAATAGAATCTATTTTGTTAATTCTTTCATTGATTTGTTATTCAAATTTCCTCTGTCTTTTTCCCTATTCAGTTTTTCCCTCAATGAACTTATGTCCCATAGAAAGACTTGAGACCATTTATTCTGAGTTTCCTAATCTAACCTTATTTTCACTTTTCATCTTACTCTCTACTATTGCAAAGTCTACAGCTCTACTCTTATTCCTTCCCCAGAAAAAAATACTAAAACTAGTGCTGTAACCAGTCCTCTCTAAATCTGTGTCACTCAAAGTGTGGTTTGAGGACCATTAGGACAGGCATAACTTGGAGGCTGGTTGAAATGCAAAATCTCACACCCCAGACAATTCGTAATCCACATTAAAGCTTGAGAAGAGCTACACCAGATGACTGGCTTTCAAATTCTTTTCATGCAATGCTCAGTGAAAAATATATTTTACATTACAACACCAGTACATACGTACTTTTTTATATATAAATGAAATAAAGTGACACAAAATAGTACTATGTGTGATGCTACATTTTGATATTTCCTGTTCTGTGCTAGAAAATTCAATAGGATCAAAAAAAGATTTCTTTAAAAAGAGGAGAAACTTGCCTGATAAGAAGTCTAGGATTTACTTTGAAAAAATCCAGTGGGATTAGGAAGGGTAGAACCAAACCAACCCCGTTGCTGTTCAGTCAATTCCAACTTGTAGCAACCGTATAGGACAGAGTAGAACTGCTCCTTTGGGTTTCCAAGGAGCGGCTGGTGGATTTGAACTGCCAGCCTTTTGGTTAGCAGCCAAAATCTTAACCATTGCACCACCAGCAAAATCAGCAACATTTTGATAATTGTTGAGGCTGAGTGATGGGTACATGGGGATTCTTTATACCATCTTTCTACTTTGGGTACGTTCGCAAATGTTTATTATAAAAAGCTAAAAGAAACAGACAAAAAACAAGAACACCACAACCCTAGTCTATTCCTTTCCAACATCTGAGAAATCTTGTCGTATTCATTCCCTCCTTCCTGCACACTGAGTTTTTCCCAGTACTTCAAATTCCTTTATAAACAACCAAGTCTCTCCTCTCTTTAAAGAACTCTGTTGTTTGTTCCTATTGATGTTTCAGTTGTAGGCCCAGCTCTCCTTCATCTCACTGCCTAGCATTTATGAGCACCTGATTAATACCTCTTGCCTCCATTCCCTTGAAGTCCAGACCTCTAGAAATCAGTCTTCCTTCGCCACTCCGATAATCATACTGTTATGTAATACCACCTACCGAACAAGAGGATATGCCTTAGGAGTGGGTGACAATATATTAATCTCCAGTTCAGTAGAGTCAATCTCTATTTCACTTCAGTCTTCCCTTTTCACCCATGTATTTTGGAGCAGTGTGAAGTTTGCAGAGTTAGGGCTCCATGTCATGGTCTAGTTGCTATTCCACTTGTCATAGTCTTCATAAAGCTATGAAGGTTGTGCCTGTGAGGCAGTTAATGTAGTCAGTGCCAGTCTACTCCACTGTGGACTGATCTTTATAAAACCCTGTCAACACTTCCTCATTGTAAGAATCCACAGTAGTACTATGTTGTATGCCACATCCTGTATAAACTCACCACCCTGGCTTCCTAGCTCTTCCATAAATGGACCCTGTCTTCCTAGAGTCCAATATGATTTCCTGTTAATCTAGTCACAGTTCTCCCCTCATCACCTTTCATGCTTGCCAAGTTCATTCTCAAGTCTATACTGATTTCCATACCTAGTATGCCCCTTGGTTTATCCAATCCTATCCAGCCCCCTTCCTTGCTAGTATCCTTCCAGCTCCACCAAACCTGATCTGTTCTTGCCACTCAGCTCACTCTCTTCTCCTCTTTTGCTTATAACCAGTCAGGTATCACCTCCCCATCATTGTTTTCAGATAGCTTCATATAAATATGTCTTTGCTTTCCAAACAAACTCTAAGCTTGTTGAGGACAGGAACCATATCCCATCCTTCTTTGTGTCTTGTGTAAGACACAAAGAAGGATACCGCTGAGTAGGAGTATATGATAAGCACTTATATCTTGTTTGACTTGTTTTAAAACACAAATCTGTTGAAATTTTGGGTTCTAAGGCTTATTAAGAAGGATTGGAAATTGTTCAGAAATATTTAATAGAATAAATCCTCTTAAATCTAATAGGTGACGGAATGAAAATGAGAACACTAATGTCTGTGATTTATTGGCAGTTATTATGTGCTGGGCCATGTGCTCAGTGCTTTCCATACATTAGCTCAGGACAACCTGTTGAGGTAGGTGCCGTGATCCTTACTTATACACAGGAGGAATCAGGTCTCACAGATGCTGCGGTCTCTCCCCCATAGAATGCAAGTGGCAGAGCCTAGATTTCAGCCCAGATCCATCCAGCACTAAAACCTTTACCATCATGTGGTTGTACGAATAAAGATGGGAAGATCCACTGCACTATGTGAAACCTAGTGGGACTTTTTTTAAAATGAAAGTAGTGTCTGCCTCAGCCCACAGTTCTTGTGTTTTCTATGTATATTATGCAGCTCCTGTAAGAAGCATTCCTTCAGTGCTCTGGGCGTTGGGACAAATCCTGTAGACTTTTCTTGGCACCTTCTGATGCTGAGAACAGACTTGCCTACCGGAAAGCAGATGCTTGCTTGGTGCCTGCCTTGCGTCTCACTCCACATCCTGGCAAGTGTACAGCCAAGAGGCCATGTTTCCTTTGGTGTTAGACTGTCCCCGCAGTTGATCAGAGATCATAAATTCTTTGCAGCAATGACAAGGGACAAGGATAGACTGACCAACGTGAAATGATTCTGTGCTAAATGTAGAGTTTGCTGCTATTTAGAGACTATCTTCTACCCCCTGTGCATTATGCAGAGCTGTGGCATGCTTTCTCACAGTTGAATAAAGAGATACTAAATGGAATGAAAGAGAGGTCAAGTCGAATCAAATGAAAGAAATGTAAAGTATTCCTGAATCACATGGGTCAAACATTGTGAGTAGACCCATCTTCAATTCATATTTTCCTTTCAGTTTTATTGCTTGGTGCCCTGCCAATTGATGGTTTGGGTACCTTTGTTATGTTTTCTTTCTTTCTTTTTTTTTTTTTTACCTCAAGTGTCTCCTGTAGGTTCAGTTATTTGGGCTAAGCTTCTGGGACAGTATTTCTCAGACTTTAGTATGCATCAGGATCTCCCAGCAAGTAGAAAATGCATATTCTTGTGTCTTCCCCCTGCCCCCACACACACACCAGAGCTCCCAGAGATTCTGGCTTGGAAAGTCTTGAGTGGGGCCTGGGAATGTGCCCCATATGACATAAATGCCTTAGTTCAAGGCCATGTTCTTACAGACTGCCCTAGAAGAGGTGAGCCAGTGAGGGAGCTGCATGTCCATGAGCCTGCCTCAGCACCCCTTTGCACTGAGCCAGGTTCAGGTGTCCCTTCTTCCTCAGGGTAGCCTCCTGACAGTTCCAGTCAGCCCGAGTGATGGCCACCATACTGTGTTTTCTTCCAGAAACCTATTTTAAAAACTTGGAAGAGAAATTGACCCAGCACAAACTCATCTTAAACGAGGAGTTGAAAACTTTGCTTCATTTGTGTGACTCTCAGGATGATGTGCAGCTGGCCAAAAATGTCATTTACAGGTGAGGCATTTCCCTAGAATCCTGCCAGCCTTCATCTCGGCTCGTTCTGTTCCTTTTCCTGAGCAATCTCATCCACTTTCAAGAATTCAGCTGTCACCTCTTCACCAATGACTTCCAGATCATTTGTCCAAGGGCCTGGCTTGAGCTCCAGACCTTTTTATTCATTCATTCATTCATTCAGCACACACTCATTGGGTTCCTACTATGTGCCAGGTGCTGAGGACAGAAAAACAGGTAATTCATGCCCAAAGAAATCACCAGCTTATTCACCATCTCCACTTACATGTCCTCTAGGTCTTCAAATCCAACATATACCAATGTGTTCCTCTTCCTGTGTTTTCTATCTCACTGATCACTCATTCAGGACAGATAGCTGGGAGCCCGTTTTCTCTTATCTCATTTGCCTCTCCTCTGATAGGATAAGAAATTTTATTGCTTCCACTTCTTAGTCTTTCTTACCTCTAGCCCTCCCCTCTCTGTCCCCAGTGTCTTAGTTCAGCCCTTCTCGTGTCTCACTTGGCTCCCTTCAGGGGACTCCTAACTACTCTCTCTCCTCCAGTTTTATGCCCAGTATACCTCTCTGATCCATTATCAGGGTTTCCCATGTCTGAAGGAACTCATTGTAATCATAGCCTGCTGTTAGGAAACCAAGCAAAGGTTTAACTTACCAGTGAGAAGTTTGGCACCAAATCAATAGGCTTGATTTCTGAAATTAAGTTCATTGCTTCTCTATTTTTCAAGGATATACTTGTATACATGTACCTGCATTTATATTTTGCACTTATATAGAGAGAAACACATGAAATTCATTATAGAAGACTAGACTATATACCAAAAGTTAACCATAGTTCTCTGGGAATTATGGATTATATTTTATCTAAACATAATACTTTCTCTGATTTCTTAAACTTGTCTAATTGGACATTATTACTTTTATAATATGAAAGAATGTTATTTTTAAAAGGAAAAGGAAAAATGAAATTACACAAAATTCATTAAAAATCACCAAAAAAGTAGAAAGAAGAAAAATAGTATCACAGATCCTGGTGTTTCTGTTGCAGCATAACAAGCCATGCCAAACTTAATGGCTTAAAACAACAATTACTTATTACCTCTCACAATTCTATGGGCCAAGAATCCAAGCACGGCCCAGCGAGACAGTTCTGTATTGGTATCAGGTGAAATCTCTCATCTATTGTCAGCTGGCAGTTAGGCTATGCTAGGAGATCCAGGAAAGCTTCATTCACATTTCTGATGCCTTGTGCTCCTCAGTACGGCCTCTCTCTCCTTGTAGTGTCTCACCATTCATTAGTCTAGCTTGAGTGCATTGGCACATAGCAAAAGTGGAAGCTGCCAGGCCTTGTAAAGCTACCCAGAACTGGCACTGCTCATTTCTGTTGCATTCCCTTGGTCAAGGCAGCCCAGATTCAAGGGGAGGGGGAGTAGACTCCACCTCTGCATGGATGGAGCAGCACTGTACAGGGAGGGAAGGGTTTGATGGTGGCCATCTTGGGAGCCTCTCTACTACACCTAAGAAACCACTGTTAATATTTTGATGTATTTTATCATGCATTTTATCTATGCAAAGATTTGGTGTTTTGGAAGGCTTTATTTTACATAGTTGTAATTATTATTGTATTTCCTAGTTTCCTAAACTAGCATTATAGCGTAAATGTTTTTCCTTGTTAATTAATCACATACTTAGGACTCATACTTTTAATGGCTATACAGTATTCTGTTGTATGTTAGGTAATTTAATTAACCATGCCTCTGTTGTTCCACTTCTAAATTATTTCCAATTATTCACCAGTATACATAATGCCATGTTGAGAAACTTTATGAATGAAGCATACTCTTTATTTTCTTTTTGGGATTGGAAGGTATGAACCTTTTAAAACTTGCCAGTGCAACTGCCAGATTATTTTCCAAAAGGGTTATGCTGATTTACAATCGCATGTATCAACAAATCTAATTCTGTTATTTTAGTTTCCCAAAGTTGAATTGTTTGAGACCCTCGGCCTGTCTTCCTGTCACCCCGCTTTTTACTACCCAAAGCTATTAGATGTTTCTAAGTGCAGCAAAACAGTATAAAAGTTCTGAACACTGTTTCCACTCTTATTTTTATCATAAACATTCAAAGTATGACTCATAATTCGTTTATTGATGCTTACAACTCTCTACCCAGTTGTCCTTTTCCTCTACTTGTGGGCAGCTGGACAAGTGGGAAGATGGTGGATCTATGACCTAACCAACCGGTTCTCTCTCTTCCTGAGACAGGCAGCCCACGGTTGGGAAAGAAGAGCACATAATGAACCAGAATGAGGCAAAAATTGGGAGCAACTTAATCCCCTCATAGTCTTGACCAAATGTAGTTGTTTAGTTTATAGGGGGATTTTAAATCCTCCTACTTGAATGTTTGTTGTCAAGAAGAAGGTTATACATTATCTCAGTGACTTTCTAGCACTTTTATTAGTGCGAGTATTATTTAAATTGGTAAACCTGTTTTGTTTTTACTTTATTTTGTTTTTAATCTAGCACAAGTAGCTCATGAGGGAAAAATAATATTGATTTTAAAGATGTATTCCCCAGCATGTCCTAAATTTTATGAGCTAGCATATGTTGAAGATACTATGCCAGGCACATTATCTCATTTAATCCTCACAAAAAACTCTTTGAGTTGGGTACTCTTCTTATCTCCATTTTGCAGGTGAAGAAACTGAGACACAGTGGTTAATTAATTTGCTGAAGGTTACACAGTAAGTAGAAGGGCTGGGATTAGAACCCAGTCACTTTGGAGCCAGAGTCTAAACCTTTAGCACTATACTATATTGTCTTTTAATGATTTATTTGTAAGTGTTATAGTGAAACAATGCATATTATTTGTAACTTCTATAATTTAATTATGAAATGTATCTAAAAAAGTATACATTATCATTTTATTTGGTAGTATGTTTAGACATAATGCTATTCTAATAATGCTATTTTAACAGACAGTAAAAAGAATTATTTCATTTTTTAAAGTCAGAGCTTTTTCCATGGTATTTGAGATTCATTCTCTAATAATGTATCTTCCTAAAATCTGCTTTACAAGTAATTAATCAATCAGGAGGTGCTTCTTCATGAAGTATCACCAGATTGTCTTCTTAGTGTCTAAAGCAGAAAGAGTTGGTTTGTGAAAATAAATGTCCACTAGCAATATTACAGTTCTGTAGTTCTAACTGGCTGTTGTTGCATGCCGTCGAGCCAATTCCAACTCATAGTGACTCTATATGACAGAGTAGAACTGCCACATAGGGTTTCCTAGGCTGAAATCTTTACTGAAGCAGACCACCAGTTCTTTGTTCTCATGGAGCTGCTGGTAGGTTCAAACCGCCGACCTTTCCATTAGCAGCTGAGCACTTAACCATTGCGCCACCAGGGCTCCTTGACAGACTGACAGACTTGTAGAAATCTCAAGCCACATATAAAACGTCACTGTCTTTGAAATAGCCTTTTCCTAAAACTCAGAATTTCAAAACCGAATTTAACTTATTTAGCGTGATGATTGTAGCACGCATATGCCTTCCCCTAGCTTAGAAAAACAGAGATTGCCATAAATTATAAAATGCATCTGTTGGTTGTCTGCCACCCTATATGGGGAGGAAGCCAGCTTTAAGGAGGATAGAGTCTACTTCTTCATTTGCTCCCTCTAGAAGAGGCCTGTACAAAGATATGGCGTCATTCAGATGCGCTTAATAATACAAGACCCCTGCTTTTCCCTAATATGCCCATACTTGGTCCCAGGAAGATTGTTGGTGGTTTAGAAGATGATTAAAATGTATATTTTTCCTTTCTTTTATTTCATAAGCTATGTCAGCCTCTAACAAAGCCTGTTTGTTTGTGTGTGTGGTTTTTTTTTTTTAATGCCTGGTGTACTTCTGCTCCAGAATTCCTCTGATTTTCTTCGAATCTGCACTTCCTTACCCTCCAGACTATGTGAGAGTGCTTTATTCATTATGTCTTCAACACCTAGCAGAGCGCCTGCCATGGTCTGTGTCTGTCCTTTTACCTGTATCCCACCTGTTGGCTCATTGAAGTGTTTTGATTACCAGGTACCATGCAGAGAACAGAAATGTCAGTTTTGGGAAATATAAGTTTGGACCACTCTTCATGAGGCTCTGTTATGAGTTGGATCTTGAGGAATCTGCCCTGGAGCTCATCAAAGAGCAGGTTACTGTTTACTGATTGCTTGCCAGGGTCATTTCGTTGTGCTGTGGATGGGGTGTTTTTGGTGATGTTAGTAAAGGCATCTCTACCATACACATTATTCCTGGGTTATATTTTCCGAGAAGGACCACTGGGTTGAATGAATCAGCTCTTCCGTGCATTTTTAAAGTTCGTTTGGAGTCAGGTTCTGTCAAGAGGTGTAGATCTCTTCAGTACATCAGTTGTACAGATTACAAGATATCTATCTACCTTGGATGTGGGTCAACCTGGGACTGACACCCTCTCTTTTTAAGAGCTTTTAGAGGGAGGTAGTTGAAGACTGGCTGCCCTTTTAAGATGCCTTTCCTACCCTTCACTGGTGCTTCTCTCTGTTTTTGTGTTTTTAATTCTGCTTGAAGACGTTACATTTATAAAGTGCTTTTCAGTTTTCAAATACATCACATAGTTTGGTTTTCTTTTCCTAAAAACAAAAATAACAATAATTATAAGCAGCATTTATTGAATGTTCACTACATCCTTGGCATTGTGCTTATTAGGCAGCACTTTATATGTGTTTTATTCCATTTGTTTTCTACAACAGCCCTAGTGAGGCAGATACTATTAATATCTTTATTTTATAGATGAGGAAACCGGGACCTAGACATTCTAAACTCGTCCAAAGTCAGAAACATTTGTTAGATTGGGGGCCAGGACTGACTACCACATACATTTTAGTGTTACTAGGAACCTCCATAATTAACTAAGTTGTCTTTCTCTCTTTTATTCTTTTTCATATAAAGTTGTCTAGACATGGTGGAATTTTTACTATAGGCTTGCCCCTCATTAAGGATACCTGTGTATTAGAAAAAAGATCATAATATATTAGTACACAGAAAAAAAGGTGGTTTTAGAAAGTACAGGTAATTTGATCCTGCTTTCTTCTAAAAAAGAAGGAATATGCATACAGATTTACATAATTAGTATATATATATTAAAAATCTGGAAGGATATACACCAAATCACTGGTTATCTTTAAGGGGTAGAATTATAGAAAATTCTCACTTTTTACTTTATACATTTTTGTATTGCTTGGCTATTTTATAATAAGCATGTGTTAATTTTTGTGATTGAAAGAAAACAAAGTTAATTTCTTTTTTTTTTTAAATCGACCTATGTATGAAAAATTCATGTATAAATGTATAAATATGTTTCTTGGAGTAGCAGAATGAACTACATTAGAGCCAGGTGACCTAAGGCCTAATCTTGCTTCTACTCTAACTGTATCCCCTACTCAACACCATGTGTTGCTGCCCTGTCCGATACAGTAGCCACTAGCCATATGTGCCCGTTTAGCCTTTGAAATGCGACTACATGTGCTGTGTGTATAAAATACATACAGATTTCAAATACTTGTTATAAAGGAAAATGTAAAATATCTCATTAATAATTTTTCATATTGATTACATGTTGAAATTATATTATTTTGGATATATCGGGTTAAATAGCGTATTATTAAAAGTAATTTCATCTATTTCTTTTTACTTTTCTGTAATGTGGCTACTAGAACATTTAGAATATGTGGCTCACATTTGTGACTCGCATTATCTTTCTGTTGGTCAGGGCTGCTCTGGTGGCTTCCCAGCACACTTAAAATAAAACTCAGACCCCTAACTATGACCTATAGGGCCATTTATGCTGTCTCATCCCCTACTTTTCTTTCCGTCTTGCTCACTCCACTCTGGACCTTCTCAGTTTTTCTCAGACATACCAAGCTCATGGCTCTACTCCAAGGCCTTTGCTTCTGTGGTTACCTCTGACTGGAATGCCCTGCCCTCTCGTCATTGAGCTTTTCTCTTTTATTTCATTCAGGTTTCTTCTCAGAGAGCCTTCCCTGACCAACTTCCATCAATCTTCTCTCTCCCTTTATCCTGTGTCATTATTCTTCATAGCCCTTATTGATACCCGAAAGTATATTTTTATATCTTTCTCTTGTTTTATTTACTTGTTCATTGTCTGATTACTGTAAGCCCCTCTAGAATTTAAGGGCAGGATGTATGTTTTGTTCATCATCTCTTTATTCTCAGCACCTAGAAAGAGTCTGAATCATGGACTCTCAAAAAAGAGGAAACGTGAGTGAGACATTTATGACACATTTGCATATCACATGTCATGCATGCTAGCATGACATAAAACATGTTGGGAAAAAAGGCTGAGAACCACTATTTAATGACTTATTTCAAAAAGTGAATAAACAACTATATTATCTGTTTTACCAAAAGAGGATCTAGTTGCATGAGACCCTCCTGTCTTAGTCCTCGAGTATATTTTTAGCTTCCATTTTATGTTAAGCTCCTGGTACCCAAGTTCCAGGACCAGCTCTGCCAGGGTGAATTGGCTTGTCTCTTCCGCTAAGCATAGCAGAGCCACATTTCATGAAGATGTTCTTTGCTATATGTCTGAAACCCAGAGATCTCTTGCCATGCCTCTTGTTTCATGTTCAGCGTGCCCATTCCCAAAGGCATGACAGCCAAGAGAGTAGGCAGCATTTCGTCTTTTTTTAGAAAAATAAATCCATGGTATATCAGAGATTTATTAGGGAATTCAGGAGGCCAAATGAATAAAGTGTACAGAAAAATAAATCTTGGATGGATGAGATGAACTATAAGTACCTCCTTAATAGTTAAGCCTTTTAACCAAGCTGTATTGTTTTTCTTCACTAGCATTTACGAGGTTTCTTTTCAGACTCCACATCATTCAATATTTTGATGGATATGTTATTTATCAAAGGCAAATATAAAAGTAAGTACTACAATGTATATATCCTAGAAATTCTGCTGTCTTTGCTGGCCTAATAATTAGGAAAAAAAAAAAAAGAGCTATGCAGAAATGATCCTTACATTCCTGATGAGTGGCTGAGTTATGGAGACCTCATTCTTTATGTTTGAAAACAATACTGCATTGCATCGCATGTCTTAAACTAAACATGCCAGATTTTATTTATGCTGAAATTGTAGCGGGTTTTAAAATGTTAGTTCTTTCTGCATGATCTGAATATTTATTTTGAAATTTAGTTAATTGCTAAATGACTTTGACAAATAGCTTTTATTGTGCTGTAATATGCTTTTGAGTTGATGGTGCTGAATAGATTAGAGCTCTGGGGCCAACAATAGAGGACTCTGAACTCACTATGACTCATTTCACACTGCTGGCCTGCTCTTGACTTTTGGCAGGTGCATTGGAAGCATTGATAGAAATGAAAAACCAAGATGTGACATTCAGCAAAGATACCTATGTCCTTGCTTTTGCAATTTGCTACAAACTGGTAAGACTATTTCCCCTTAGGTTTCGGAGCGTTTATGGATAGTGTTAGAGAGAGGATTTTTTTTCTTTTTCCCCTCTACAAATAAAATTCAGTTACTCTGAGGTCTGTTTTCCATCTGGTGCAAACATTCTATTTTTAAATGTATTCATTTTTGGAAAACTTAAGTTAGCCATGTCAGACAGTTTTATCATGGGAAAAGCAATTGCGTATTTTTCTACCCTTATCTGGAAATATAGATAAGGAGAACAAGAGACAGCCTGTTGTGTTCGAGCTCTGCTTTAGAGTCCGTCTTGGTACTGAGCTCATGCTGGACTCTGCTAGACCAGTCTCCGCTGTTGTCCTCTCCCCGTGGAAATCTTACCGTCCTTCAGCGGCAAACTTGAGAGCCACCTTGTACTCATCTGTGAAGTTTTCTGTGATCACCTAAGCTGGAAGTGATCTCTCTCTGCCCCAGATATCCCTTGATTGTGCTGTATTGGTGTCACATGCATGGCACTTCCAACACTGCCTTATGTTGTACTAAGTAGATGCACGTTTCATCCTCCCCACTAGAGTGTAAGCTCCTTGAGGCATCTTTGTATCTAAGCACCTAACACAGTACCCGGTACACAGTAGATCTTTAATACATGTTTGTTACATTAAAATGAGCTATTTTCTATTTGAGGACAGAGACCATGACTTATTGGGTTGCAGTCGAAAGAAAACTCAGCTAGGAAGTGGGAAACTTGGGATCTAGTCTCAACTGTACTATTAACTGGCTTATATAGTTTTCAACTGGCCACTTAAGTTACTCATTTGTAGAGTGATGGGGTTGGGTTCAGGTCAGCAAACTTTTTCTATAAAGGGCCAGATAGTAAATATGTTAAGCTTTGGATGCCACATACAGCCTCTGCCATATATGGTCTCTGTCACATAGTCTTCTTTGTTTTCGTTTTTATAAGCCTTTAAAAATGTAAAAACCATTCACAGCCATGGGCTGAATGTGGCCTGAGAACCACAGTTTGCTGTCCTCTGGATTAGATGATCCTTTCCAATTATACCATTCCATGATTCTGTGAAATAAAGGTAAACAAAACAGCTCTTGAGCATCAGTTATTCAGCATTGTGATGCCCAGTTTTCTGGCCTGGAACCCAAAGGCTGAAATGATGTGTATCTACTTAGGGACACCTCCCTGAGTGTATACTGAAGTGGAAAGAATAATTCTGTTACGTAGGAAGGGCTAGAGGACTTTTCTCCCCTGTGCAGTGCCCAAGACTAACTTGTTTTGCTCAGTGGAGACTGGAGTTGATAAAGCGAGTTGGTGAGCCATCACAGATTCCAAGCCAATTCTGGGAACTGTCCTCTCTCATCAAATTCAGACTTAATTTTGAAGATTTGAATTGTGAGTCACGTCGTGACAGATAAAAACCAAGATGCAAAGCTGATGCTCTCATAAGCCTTCTCTACCTTCAACATGTCTAAAGGAAGAGGATTCGGTTTCCCATTGCTGTCTTGCTGGTTTGCGTTTCACTCACGCTGTTGGATTTTTTTTTTTTGAGGTTCTGTTTTCATGGAATTTGTTCATAGTTTATGTTCAGATTAGCATTTGTATTTTAAAATATTTGACTTGCATGGATATTTTTCAATTGGAAATCCCCCCAGGAAACGTTTGCTAGTGTTGCTGAGCTTTACTACACTCTTGAACGTATGAGCAGGCTGACTCTTTACACTTTGTATTATGGGAGTTGTGTATAGAAACTAGCCTGCTTATGCGAAGAGACCTTTATATTTGCGGGTAACAACTACCTGAACTCAGGAAATTGACAGAGCTTTAGAAATAAGGTTAATTTAGACTTTTAGCTGCTAATATGTAAATAACCTGTCTATTTGCAAATAGTCTCTATGTAGGGCTTAATCTTAAGTGGCTTAAGATACGCTTGGGGAATTTCTTGCTAAAAGAAATCTGAAATACTGAACACTGTTTATCTATTAAACTTAAAGATTCATGACATTAAGCAATCCTGTCTCCTCACAGAATAGCCCTGAGTCTTTTAAAATCTGTACTACACTAGGAGAAGAGGCCCTAATCAAGGGAGATGTTCTCTCCAGGAGAGCTTCATGTTTCGCTGTGGCATTAGCTCTGAAACAGGTGAGGATTCAGGTGCACATGACTGGGTAGGACTTTACTACTTTCATTCGTTGTTGCTTTTATTATTTTTCCTTCTGACTGTATCTTGAAAGAAGAAGTTCCCATGAAGAGACCAATGCCTTTGGTGCCATGGCAACCTACATCCACACTTATGCCTCCATTTCTGGTTGAGGACCTAACATGTATTTCTATTTACAAGGGTCTGGGTAAGATTCTAAGCAGCACTCTGAGAGAAATTTCTCAAGTAACTAAAATGAAAATTGAAAATGGTCAGTTTAATATTTAATGTTCACTGAGAGCAATTTAATTTGAATGCTCTCCAAAGCTGAATTCAGAACAGATGAATCAGAACTACTGGCTCACCCGTTTTATAAGTGGAGGCCATCATGTTTCCCTTAGCTAGACTCAGATAGTCTTATTTGGAAGAGGCATTAATGATCATTTAGCCTGTCCCTGTCACTGGGCTGATGGAGGCAACTGAGATCCAGAGAGACGAGAGGACTTCCCTGAGGTCACATAACAATGGAGGACAGAGTTGGAGGTGCAACACTGGAACAGCCATCTCTTGAAGAGCCCCTGCTCAGGGCTGTCCTTTTCCAAGGCCTGAGAAAATGTGATTTACTTTACATGCTCCATTACCAGTGTTTTGGCAGTGCTTCCCCGTCTTCTCTGGTTTGAGGTTTCTAGTTATGTCAAACATGCCTCTCATTCTTGGTTTGTTTGTTTCTTTGAGCTGATTCCAGTGGGAGAAAGAGAAATGCCAACTTTATGCCCTTATCTTAAAAACTGGACTCAGGCAGATTGTTAAAACATTCAATTATGTGCTCCTGGGTGAAATATTTTATGGAATGTTCATCTTGGAATACCAAAAAAACTTCGTTTTCTTTGTGAACGTCAACCGTATGGGGCCCTATGAGCAGGAATTTCTTGACTTCTTTCAGGGATCCTTATAATAGCAGAGTAACATTCATATGAATTTAAGCTATGAATTTTTTTTCCCTTCCAGAACCAAGTGGCAAAAGCTATGTCCTTTTTTTCTCAAATCATGAGGCCAGAAAGCATAACCTGCATGAATTTAAATGTAAGTGATTTTTCTTATGGTTTAAACTAAGATTTGAAATCTAATAAAATGATATCTAGGGTTTTTGTCTGGGTACAGTGACTTTTGATCTCTCAAAGTCTTCAGTTTGAATGAACAATTGTTTATTGAGCTCCTCTATGTAAAAGTTACATTGTAGGCCCTTGAGGGGAGTCACTGCAGCCCAAGCTTCCAGGATTTATAAATTGGTGGGAAAGATAGATAGATTCAAATATCAGACATGGCTAAATGACTGTTTAAATAGAGCTACAGAATGCTGTAGATATAGAGACAAGGGAGAGAATGGAGGTAGATTCTCCAGTCTCTTCACTGGGCCTTGAGAAAAAAAGGCTGCATGCTAATTGTATGCCATTGGTGGTACCTAACTTACAGGTCATTGTGATCAATGAGTTAATACACCTCAGGTGCATGAAGTAGAGCCTGACACATGGTAAGGAGCCCTGGTGGCACAGTGGTTTAAGAGCTTGGCTGCTAACCAAAAGGTCAGCAGTTGGAATCCACCGGCCGCTCCTTGGAAACCCTGTGGGGCAGTTCTACTCTATCCTATAGGGTCACTATGAGTCAGAATCGACTTGATGGCAGGAAGTATTAGCTATTTTTATTCTTAATATGTTCCCAGTCTGCCATGGCCTATCTGCCCCATTTATTGTCTGGGTCAGCAAGGAGGCTGCACTCATACAGCTAAGACATACAAAACCTTAATCCCTAAAACTGAAAGAAAAACAAAACAAAAAATTCTTCACAGAGTGACAGGATTCACTCTAATAATATAAAGTTCAAAGCATATCCTGTTACCACTCTCAGTTTTTGAGCAGCAAGTCACCTGTACCTTCCTGGAGCAATGAAAAAAGCCTGTATTTTCATTACAGACACCACAGCCCCCACTCAGCCCACCCCAGTTTAGGCTCTGCTTGTACGCCGAGTACATTTGTGTTGTGGAGAGTTGCAGAAGAAAAGTCCCTAACTTTCAAGAACTTGGAGTCTCCTTAAACAGACAAGGGGTCCAGATGAAGAAAACACTTCCAAAAGAACAGAAATGTGTATATACTAGTGTGATGTGAACCAGGATAATGGGTCATAGCTGATGCAGCATTCTAAGATTGGGAATGAAGGGAAAGATGAGCTGATCAGCAGGAGTAAATGGAGGAGAGCTTAGGGAGGAAACCATCGTTGAGCAGTGTTCTGAAGGAGGACAGGGCTGTGAGAGGTGGGATGGAGATGGAAGGGCATTTTTGGGAGATTGGTTTTGGTGAAGGTTCTGTTTAATGCTCTGTTTAATGTAAGCTGTTAATTTTAACCATCTCTGACTAGCTCTGTGTCCTTAGGCAAGTTGCTTAACTTCTATGGACCCCAGTTTCCTTTTATCTGAAACAGCAATAGAAATAGTACTTATTCTTTTATTGTAAGAATTGAAAGAAATAATACATATAAAGCAGTGAGCACAGTGCCTGGTATGTAGTCAGTGTTCAATGAATGTTTGCTGGCACTTGTGGTATTTGTTTGAAGTGAGGTCTGTTAAATACAAATGAACATTCATTTGTAACAAATCTAGAATCCAGTGAATAACACTTCAGGCAAAACTCCAGGTTTCTGAAATGGAATAGTAACAGTTAAAGACAATTTTCAGTCCTGCCCATAGTGGTTATCCTCAAATGTCACCCCCAGATCAGTGCCCAGAGGACAATGAGAGAAGGGTGTAGAGCTAGAGACTTCTAAGATAAGGACTAGATAAGCCTTTAATAAAGGTAAACTTTGGAGAACAAAGTCAGGCAAGAAATCTGAGATCAGAATACCTAATATTTGACCTAACATTTACTTTTCAAAATGCTTTCACATGAGAAGAGCCTGGGGAACTAAGAAGGTGGAAACCGTGATAACAGAGCACCTAAAAAAGAAGAAATAGTTTGGGAGGAGGAAAAATACTAAACTTTATAGTAGGAGCCCTGGTGGTGCAGTGGCTACGCATTCTGCTGCTAAATAAAAGGTCGGTAGTTCAGATCCACCAGCCACTCCTTGGAAACCCTATGAGGCAGTTCTACTCTGTCCTCTAGGGTTGCTATGAGTGGGAATCGGTTCCACCAATTATACACTCACACTAGAAAAATATCTAAAAAGGATTTTGCAATTTGCAAAGGGCATGAGCCTGGACAGGGAGTGAGTGTCAGAGCTGTCAGTTAAAACCTCATCTGTATAAAGCCTGGGATGGATCTGATATGAGCTAATGGGTGCCACAAAGAAAGGGAAGCAAGAGGACCCAGGAATGAATGTAGAAGGCATTAATGGGGAGGCAGAGGAAGCATCAGAAAAAGACGGAAGAAGCAGCATCAGTGTATAGAAATCCGAGAGGGCTGATAGCCCTACCTGTCATAGCCTGCTACAGAAAGCTACTGTTCTAAGTCTGGGGGACCTGGAACCAGGCAGTCCTATGGGATTAAGCAGAAACTGCAGATCAGAGCAGGTGGGTCCACATAAAGACTCCCAGGCTAACTCAGGTCCTGGTGGCCCAGGCTGGCAAAGGCTCAGAGTACAGAAGTTCAGGTCACTTGAGCCAGTGATACTGGTAAGCTGAACAGAATAGTAAGCCTGGTCTTATATCAGACACCATATGGCTTTTGTCTTCTCTGCTTCCTATTAAATATGGACTGCTCTGGGTATGTAAGTGCTTCCGAGAAAGAGAGTGGCCTGCACCACTTTCATGATTGGGCAGAAGTAGAATTATTAGGATTAACAAGAGTTTCTTCCACTAAAGCTAAAGTTATCCGAGTGGTTCATTACATCATGTAGGAAAGAAATATGAGAGAATGTGATGAGAGATGTTTTATGTAGATCATTAGTAGCTTTTCCTAGACTTGAAGTGAGGTCTTGAGGAGGATCAATAAGGACTGGTGGTAAAAAATTGAAGAGAATTGGATAGGCAGGATTTTAATTAGACATTTAACTAAGGAACAATGCTAGGTACTTTACATTTGTCAGTTCGTGTTATACAACCCTGTCAGAACAATAATTCTCCATATTACAGCTCTGGAAAGCTAAGGTTCAAAGGCTAAATAAATTAGCCACGTTCTCCCAATGTGTTTGGCTTTTAAGCCTAGGGTTTTCCCACCACTTCGGATGTGCAGAAGTGAGATGAGCAGAGCTGTGCCCCTTCTACCCAGGGCTGGGACTAGCTGCTCTACCTGAATAATGAAAAGAATGGGGGACTGGATGTCAAAAAACATAATCTGCACTTAATGCATGTATTCTACTTCCTTAGACTTAAATTCCTCATGTGTTTAAATCCTTGCCATCTTTCACAGTCGTTATGAGCATCTAGTAGTGATTTTTGTCTCATGAGGAAGCACTGTGTAGAAGTAAAACGTGAGTCGATGTGAGTGAAACTGCTTTCACAGTAGGAGAATTCCCAGGATGGAGGGAAGAGTGGCTGGGCAGGAGGGACAGCTCCTTTCCTCTGAGAGCTGGAAAGGAGAGTCAGGTAATAAACATATGAGAATGGGCATGTTTTGGGCAAGGACCACGTAGGACCTTGCATTGATCTTGAATATGAATTGCTTCTCCCTGAATTGGGTTACAAAGTATCCACTGTCAGGAAACTTAAAGATAGTTCTATTGTTTAAAAATTCTCACTCTCAGAAAATTCTCCCAGTTGTCCATTCTAAATTTGTCATATTTCAATATAACCCTGTTTCATCTTCCTCCAGGATGATGAAAAAGAGATGGTTGCCATTCTCAAGTTTAATAATCTTTCAGATTCTAAATCTCTGTTATTAAAGCAATTTTTTTTTTTTTATTAATGATTTAATGGAACCTAACTTCACCAAGGCTGAGTCATTCCCTTGGGATCCTTAAAGGCAATTTGATAATTATTAAGAAATGGAAACCTGAGAAAGAGGCAAGTAGACAGTCTGTTCACTCAGTATTTGCAGAAATTAATTTGTTTTTCCTTTTCCTTTTTTCTGATCTACTTTAAAAATGAATGTCTCATACTAAAATCTTTAGCTGCTGCCAGTTGGAATTTGAACTTACTTAATTTGCCACCTCTGCTTAGTTTTCTTTTTATCTAAATTGTTCTGCTGCCAGTGTGACCCAGAGGGCCTGGTTTCTCATTTTCTCAGCTAATAACTTACTTCATACTGCCTTGATTTAGCAGACGATCTCATCGTGACACACCCATGTCTACACTGCCCTTTCAGTCTAAATTTAAACCTATCAGTCTTGAAAGAAAGAACTACAGCTCCTCTTTAGCAAGGCTGCTCAGTATCAAAGGATTAAATTCTACTTTTAAATATGTCTGGGAGTAGCAGAGACAGAGACCAGCATGGGTAGATTTCCACTGATTCTATATGAATTCTAATCATTTCTATAGAAATCTGGCACATCTCCAAATGGAGACCCATTTTGGAGTTAATTTACCTTGCTCTTTCAGGGGGATTGACAAGTGGTTATTTTGCTACTTTTATTATTTATTTGTTAACACAGGTGAATATTTTAATGCCCCTTTCTCCTACTCACTAAGGTCACCATAAAGTTCTATTTCATGCTGAGAAATCTGCTATGCTGCGCAGTTAGGAAAGGAGACAAAGACTCATTTCTTATAAATTCCTTTATGGCAGTCTCTCACCCATATGTGTAAGTTAAGAATGGCATTTGGTTGGGAGCAACAATAGACTCAGAAGAAGAAGAAAAAAGAAAGAAAGAGCCTATACAAATTAGAGACTTTACTTTTCTTCTGTGTAGACAACCAGAAGTGGTGTCTGCATTGCCCTTATATCACAGGCCAGTCCAGGTCTGGTGTGGCTTTCCATGATGTCTTCAGGGACACAGCCTCCTTCTGTATTTCTACTCTGCCATCCTAAGCACATGACTTCCATCTATCACATCTCTGTTCCAGCAAGTAGAAAGAATGAGGGAGGACAAAAAAGTTGGTCCCTTTTAAAGATACTTTCCCAAATGCCTCAACCAACAACTTGTCCTTACATGTTGTTAGCCAGAACTTAGTCCCATAATCACACCTCTCCACCTAATTGCACAGAAACCTGGAGAATACAGTCATTGAGTTCTGCACATCACATGACAGCATCAGTTAACATTAGGGAGTTCTGATATCAGAAGACAATAGGAGAATGGATATTGGTTAGGCAGCTATCAGTATCTACCACACTATGATGTTGTTAGTTGCCATCAAGCCAATTCTGACTCATGGCGACCCATGTGTGCGGAGTAGAACTACTCCATAGGATTTTCAAGGCTGTGACTTTTTGGAAGCAGATTGCCAGACCTTCCTAGGCGCTTCTGGATGGATTCGAACCGCCAACATTTTGGCTAGTAGTCAAGTGCTTAACTGTTGGCACCACGCAGCCACCCTACCACACTATGATATTCTACTTCAAATATAGCAAACTCATAACGACAATATAAGAAACAAGAAATGCAAATTTCTGCTTGTTCAGGGCTTCTATTCCTTCTTTTGATCAAAGGTACCCAATGACCTGTCCTCATTTCCTGAGGCATCAGAAGATCAGGGGGGCAGGAAGTATGTGTTCTTTAAATAGTTTTTCTTACCACATTTTCCCCTGCTCTTTGATGATTCAATTTTCCTAGCTTTTTGCTTGAAATTTGCAACATAAAAGCAACAAGCTGTGCCCTGCTTTGGCATTTCTTAACCTCACCCTGAGACCTGAGGCAAGCCCTTAGCTTTAAACTTTCTCTTCTTTTGCCCTTCACTAGTGAGTGCTTCACCTATATTGCCTTTCTTCAGTGTACTTCCAGGTACTGAAACTTACTCTTGAAATCCCTTCTGAGTCAGAGGTAGTCACTGGAGACAGGGAGAGAAGTTGGGAAAACTTACTAAGAAAAGTTGAAATCTTCTGGGAACACATCACTAATAGTTTCTAGCATGGGGCTCCGAGAGCTTTATCCTTATACATTGCTGGGGGGCTCATACTCCCCTTCTCGTTCATTATTTATTGAGTGCGTACTAGGTGCCAGGCACTGGGATGTAGCAGTCAACATGGCTGACTTGTCCTTGCCCTCGAGTGGACAGACCACTACCCAACCGAGTTGGGGTTGTTTATACCATCCAACTGAATAATTTCACTTCTGGAAATCAAGTATAAGAAGTTAACCAGTTGTTTAAAGAAATGTAACATTGATTGATATAATAAAGTATGGTGTATTTTCATGTGAACTTACACATTCATTAAAAATGAGGGTTTTTTTTTTCTAAAATGTCTTGGTAATATGAGAAATTGTTCATTGTACACTAATTGATCAAAAGCGTCAAATTTTGGGAAAAATAATATATTTGGAAGATAATTTTTCAAATTATAAACAGTGGTTAACATTAGTTGATGAATTCTGAGTTATTGTCATTTTTGTAGTTATTTTCTTTAAACCTTTTTGTGTTTTTCAAATTTTAATAGTGAATGTTGGTAATCAGGATGGAAATATGCTGTTTTTTCTTGTGTTAATTTTGCCCGTCTGCTGGAAAGTATTTAGTGATATCATTTTCAAAAGCACAGTACAGTATCCAGTTTTGAAAGTTTCTGAATACACATAGTACAGATAGGAGTGCCTCTTTAAGACTTCAACCAGCTTCCACTTTATGCCAGCAGTAACCTGTGGCCTGCAATTTCCTAACCCCTAGCCACCCAGAAAATTTTTTTAAGGTACCATTTGCCCCATAGCCAATCTTACGAGATTGTCTGATTGTCATATCCTCCAAATCTAAAGGGGGTGGGGAGGAAGAACTAATGTGAATGTTTACTGGGTACCTCCTGTGTGTTGGTATTTTATTTAATGTTCATAATAACCTAAAATATGGTATCCATAGGTCTTTCCCCCATTTTACAAACGAGGAAGTTGGAAATCAGAGAATAAGTACCTGGTGCAGTCCCATAGCTGGTAGTTGCAATGCTGGGATTCCAGCCCAAGTCTGTCATTTTCCAAAATCCAGCTCTTTCTCTTTCTGTTTTACCTTGCTTCCTCTCATTTAGTTCTTAAGCAAGTTTTTAAGTTGGAAAGCAAGTTTCAGCTTCCATACGTTCAAGGCATTTTTTGTACTTTGTGCAAGCCTGTGAATTAGGAAATAGTGTCAAAGCAGCTAACAGAGTGCATTTCTCAGCAGCGAAAATACTGGCTCAGTCTTGTCTTCGATTATTTCTTCTTTTTATTCAGATTATTATCCATATCCACTCAAATATGTTGGAAACCCTGATAGAGATACTAAAGGATGCTGCAGAGGGATATTTATCAAGCTTTGTGAAAAAGCAAGAGTTCTCAGAAGAAGTGGTGAGTATGCAATTGCTGCAGAAATCACTTAACAACCCTAAAGAAGAATGGACAAGAGATATGGTCAGACTCACTAAAAGAAGAAATGTGAATGGCCCGTAAACATTTTCAAAGATGCTCAACCTTGCTAATATTAAGAAAAATGCAAAATACAACTTCCCTGTGATGCCATTTCTCATACCTTAGATTAGCAAAAATCTGAAACTTTGATGACATACTCTGTTGGCGAGGTTCTAGAGAAACGGCACTACATCCTATGCTGTTAGGGGGAATGCAGATTGGTACAACTTCTATGAAGAGGCATTTGGCAATATCTAGGAAAATTACAGATCGGGGCTTTGAACTTGTTAGTTCCGTTTCAAACGACTGCTGAGAATTTGCATTTCTAACAAGTTCCCAGTCGATGCTAATGATGCTAATGCTGCTGGTTAGGAACCGATTCTGAGAACCACTAGTAGAATAGTGGTTCTCAAAATCATTACACATAAGAGTCACCAGGGGATCCTGTTAAAATGTAGATTCTGATTCAGTATATCTGGGGTGAAAGTGCAAATTCCCAGCAAAGGTTCAAACCGGAAGAAACCGGTTTGAAGCTCTGTTATAATGCATTTACCTTTTGACTTAACCAACCCATTTCTTGGAATATATTTCAGATATACACTGGGAAACATATATGATATTGTATGTACAAGAACAATTGTTGCAGACACATTTGTAATATCAAAAGACTGGAAACAACCTAAATTTCTATTCATAGAGGACTAATTGAAAAACCTAGGGTGCATCCACACAAAGGACTCTTACGTAGCTGTAAAAAAAAAAAAGAGGAATACCTACATATAATGCTATGGATCACTATATATGGATTAGTATAATATGTTATTAAGTGAAAAGAGCAAGATGCAAAACAGTGCTTATGGTATGCTTTAAGAAGGGATATAATGCATACATACATGTGTTTATTTTTTTTTTAAATCAAAACTTAATGAAAACAATTATTTATAAGAGATTGGGGGGTGAGTGATGGAAGCCATTCCTGTAAATGTACCTTGTTTGTATATTTGACTTTGGAACCGTGTGAAGGTTTTACAAAGTTATGAAACAAAATTAAATAAAAATACAGAGAAAAAGGCAATACCTAAAAATTGAAAGCAGAATGAAACAGATGAACCCATATGCCACATTAATGACTTAACCATACAAAAGGAATCATTGCAAGTCATTTGAAATATAGTAATTTGTACATCTCTTTGTTGTTGTGTGCTGTCGAGTCAATTCTGACTCAGTGACCCTATATAACAGAATAGAAATGTCCCGTAGGTTTCCTAGGCTGTAATCTTAATGAGAGCAAATTGCCAGGTCTTTTCTCCTGTGCAGTTGCTGGTGGGTTTGAACCACAGACCTTTTAGTTAGAGGCTGAGCACTTAACCATTTTGCCACCAGGGTTCCTTAAAGAAAGAGCTGTAAAGAAATCATAGATTATTTACAATGATCATATTGTTAGTAATAATGCTGATATTGTTATTTTGACTAAGTGGCCCGTCAGCTGATCTTCCTTCCTCCTTTTTTCCTCCCTTCCCTTGCCTTTTATAGGACTGGTCAAACTGACATCTGAGACAGAAGGATTGGCAATAGGGAACACGTGGCTTCTTTCTCCTCCTCTGCCACGCTAAGGCCTTCCCAGCCCTGTCCCATTTTCTCACTTTTCCACCCATAGGCTTCTTCCTACTGTCAAAAGGAGTTTTTCAGGAAACTGACTAACTCTGGATATGATTAAATTTATAGCTTTTTTTCTGTTTGAAGTCTTAGCTCTGTAGGTTGTGACCTACCTAAATTCTTTTGGAGTATATTTAGAAAGGGTCACTTTGAGTTGGAATCGACTCGACAGCCGTGGATTTGGTTTTGGGTTTAGGGGAACTGGAAGTATAAACAGATTTTAAAGTACACAGTTATATATGTGTACGTGTCATACTGACACAACTTAAATGTTCCCAACAGCATTGATGCTAATCATTCCTTGGACCTGGCCCATCAGTATGTTGTCATGCATTTATTTATATGACTAAAGAATCCAAATAAACCACTGAAAAATTCTATTTGTTTTTTAATTTGATTTTTCCCCTAAAGCCTATTAGACTGATTTTTCTTAGAAAACTCACCCTCTAGTTCAGTGTATTCCCCTGGTTATTGTGGGACCCCTCAGGGAACAGCTTGATGAGTCACGTAATTCCAAGAGCTTGGAGCTTGTTCCAGGTGTATGTATGTGAGATTGCATGAGGATTGTTCTATTCTTATAAAGCTCTGCATTTTACAAATACATACATGTATATATAATGTGCATACTTATACATACAAATATTTACAAATATAGTATTACTGAAAATGTGCTATATGTGGAGATTAGACTATAAATTATATAGGTGCTGTTATACCACCAGAGGAGTATTGAAAAGAATTGTTGGTTTTCTGTAATGCTGTTACTGAATCCATGAAAATATTCACTATTTCTTCATTGATTTATTTTTTAAACTGAATAACAACAAAAGTGCTAGAATTTCTTTTCTACTTAAATTGTATAGAGTGGTTCCCTTTAATATTTCTATAGTGATACACAAGAACTGAGGCAGTAGATGCAGTTAGATCAGTTGACCTCCAACTTGGCATGTTTGCTTTACTTCTTTTGGAAGCTGTATGCTGCACATTAAGTCATTTCACCTTGAACATGAGAACTAAATAGGCAATTCTTTTTAATAGCCTACTTTTAATATCACTTATATGATAGTTTAGAGCCCTGGTGGTGCAGTGGTTAAGAACTCAGCTGTTAACCAAAAGGTTGGCAGTTTGAATCCGCCAGCTGCTCCTTGGAGACCCTATGGGGCAGTTCTACTGTGTCCTATAGGGTCGCTATGAGTCGGAATCAACTCTGTGGCAGCAGGTTTGGTTTTTTGGTTTTTTATACGATAGTTTAAGGAGCCGTGGTGGTGCAGTGATTAAATGCTCAGCTACTAACTGAAAGCTCAGCAGTTTGAACCCACCAGTGGCTCCGTGGGAGAAAGATTTGGCAATTTGCTTCCATAAAGATGATAGCCTTGGAAACCCTATGGGGCAGCTCTACTCTGTCCTGTCGAGTTGCTGTAAGTTGGAATTGACTCAATGGCAATGAATTTTGGGTTGTATACTCTATAGTCTAATCTCCACATATAGCACATTTTCAATAACATTCATAAGTATGTATATTGTATATACATGTATATATTTGTAAAATGCAGAGCTTTGTAAAAAAAAGAATACTCCTCGTGTAATCCACATACACGTATTTAGAGCTAGCTCAAAAACTAATGGAGTTATGTGACTCATCAAGCTGTTCCCTGAGGGGTCTCACACTAAAATTTTATTTTCTTAGCAATGCAAACAGAACCAGAATTTAGCTTTCAGAACTGATAAGTAAACCAAATTTAAGTGAGTCCTGCTTTGGTCACAGGCAAGGCTTGTGCTTTTTAGAAGAAGTGCTTAAGCCTCTTGTCTGAAGGTTAAGTGGGGAGTCATCATTTGAAAAGATGTGCAGGTAGCAAATAGGGTTATGATATATTTAGAAGATGAACATAAACCAAAGAGTTTGTTAGGAAGCTTGATCCCAATTAAATCTCATCAAGAAATATTGTCATGTTGGATTCTTTTTTTTTTTAAAGTTTAAAAATGTTGATTAATTCTTTTTTTTTATATTTTATTGTACTTCAGGTGAAGGCTTACAGAACAAATAGTTTTTGATGAAACAGTATTACACATGTTGTTTTATGACATTGGTTAACAACCCCACAACATATTAACCCTCTAAATTCTCAACCTTTTTTTTTTTT